TGAAATAATAGAACTGAACCAAGCTTTGGAACACATGGACTTAATAGATGTTTATAGAGTATTCCACCCCCAAAAACCAGAATATACATTCTTTTCGGCTGCACATGGATCATTCTCCAAAATAGACCACATACTGGCTCACAGAACAGGTCTAAATAAATGCAAAAAAATTGAAGTCATCCCCTGTATATTATCAGATCATAGTGCAATCAAACTAGACATCAATAGCACAAGAAACTATAGAAACTTCACAAGCACATGGAAACTGAACAACACTCTCCTAAACAATCAATGGATTACAGAGGAAATTAAAGAAGAAATTAGACAGTTTTTACAAATAAATGAGAATGCCAATACAACATAGAGGAATCTTTGGGACACAATGAAAGCAGTTCTATGTGGAAAATTCATAACACTGAATGCCCACACTAGGAAAACAGAGCGGGCTCAAATAAACAACTTAACGATGAAACTTAGACTCCTAGAAAAACAAGAGCAAGAAAAACCCAAAGCTCGAACAAGAGAGGAAATTATAAAGATCCGAGCAGAAATCAATGCAATTGAAACTAAGAAAATGATACAAAAAATAAATGAAACAAAGAGCTGTTTTTTTGAAAGAATAAATAAAATCGACAAACCCTTAGCTAATCTTATCAAAAAAAGGAAAGAAAAGGCTCAAATCCATGCAATCAGGAATGAAAAAGGCGAAGTCACAACAGATCCAAAAGAAATCCAGAGGATCATGAACACCTACGTTGAGAACCTGTACTCTAATAAAATGGAAAACACAGAAGAAATGGACAGATTTCTAGATACTTATGAATTACCAAAGTTGAACGAAGAAGAGAAAAATATTTTAAATACCCCAATCACAATCAGTAACATTGAAAATGTAATTAAAAACTTACCAACAAAGAAAAGCCCAGGCCCTGATGGATTCACTGCTGAATTTTACAAGACATTTAAAGAACTACTACCATTACTCTTCAAACTTTTCAATGAAATTGAAAGGGAAGCTATACTTCCAAATTCATTCCTGGAAGCAAGTATCACTTTGATTCCCAAACCAG